AATGGTTGAGCTAATTTCGTGTAGTAGATAGATAATTTGTTCTCATCGTGTTAGGACGTCCTGTTATCCCTTCTAGGAATGGGATGCAAGAGTTGAAGATAACATATTGTCATGTAATGGTAAGCACAACATAAACATCGGACTCATAAGCTGTGAATTTAGGTGATTTTTTTTGTCTCCTCCCTTGTGTTTTCTCCAGATTAATTTTTGGCTTATCAAATCCATGCAATCGCACTCACATTGAAGCTAACTTCTGAATTTTATTAAGGTTAGATGATAACAAACATTCACCTTAGAATGATTATTGAGGAAAAGTAGCCTAAATAAATATTTGAAACTGATTCAAGCATGCATAAGCAACCTGCCACTCATCTAACGTATAGGAATCGTTCCCAGAGGCTTCAACTGCAAAATGACATTTGAGATATTGCATCTCTTGCTCTCTGGTTTAGTTGATTTCTCCAGAATCTCAAATCCCCTCTGATGATAAAGACAGAAACACTTCCCAGGACTGTCACGTCCTGCACACGTCTACTTAAGTAAAAGCGAGAAGAGAAACAACTAAATATGCAGGTAAAAGCTCTCAACTCTTGTGAACCATCAAACCACCTTGAATGGAACAGAATAATGAAATAGCGATCAAAACCAACCACAACAGCTCCTACCTGGAAAGCGGTTTCACTAAAACTATACTCAGTTTCCGTCTCAAGAAGAACAATTTCATGCATTGTATAACTTGAAGTAGAGACAGAAACATAAAGAAATCAAATGTATAGGAAGGATCATCATGATCATGCTCAATTAGAAACCATGGCTCCAATTCAATATGCCTTTTACCATCCTCTTGTCACTGAATAACTGACTATTCAGAACAATGACAGAACAAAAATCATGGAAGCTAGTAAGAAAGGTCAGTGATACATACTGGACCTCCAAGGTATTGAAAACCAGCAAGCTCGAGCTCTTTGAAGATACAGAGGAGGCAAATAAGTCACTAACATTGACCGTATTGTTTCCTGGACTTTGTTGATAAAAACCAGCCTCTTCCCCTGTAAAAGTTTGCAAGAAAAGCAATAGATGTAATCTAAGAAACTTGACACAGTTTTAAAGTAAATGATTTCATCTGAGAAATTGATTGCTTACCGATCTTGGCACGGAACATATCAAGAGTTTCAGGAACTCCCTCGATCAACTATTTCCTTTCCAAAAATTACTCCTACAAACAAACAAAATGGTTGAGCTAACTTCGGTTAGTAGATAGATGAACTGACTCATTATTAAGAAAGATCTTTTGATCGTGAAACTTGTAGAGGATTTGTGAGATGAAAATCTAATCAATAAAATTCACTCTTTCGCAACTCAGACACCCTCCCATATTTTGGCTTACGAAACACCAAAGACTGATATGATCTGAGCAGCAAATACCTCTGAATCGATTAGGAGAAGTTCGATGCCATCACCTTTTGGCAGAGAGATTTCGATGCCAGTTTTAGATTGTGTTGGTTGAGGTTGTAGCTCTGTTAGCTGTGGGTGTAGGTTGGAAGAGGTTTTGTGTATAGGATTTGGTAGAATAAGCAACGGAGTGGAAGGTGATGGAGGAGTGGGTAGTGGCCATTGAATTACAATCACTGAAGATGACGAAGTGGTGAAGCCATAACGGTGGCCGAATTTAAGAAGTATCGGAAAAGGAATCGTGAGTAATTGGCTTAATGTTTCTGATTTTTCTAAGGATCGTCGTGAGGGAACTTGAGTTAGTATAACGTAGGCTTAATGTTCTTTGAGATGGGCCACGATTATGGTGAAAAATGGGCCATTATTTCGGTTACTAAAATGCTAATGACAAAAGTAATGAAGATTAGGGAGTTGGCTCGGTAGTTTTAATTGCCACGTGGCATGTATTTAGGAAAATTTGTTTTGCTGATGATGTGGATAGCCTTAGGAGTCCCTATTAGTTAGTACTAGTGTATTACCCGCGCCCCGAACTTTAGATTATGATTTTAAAAAGATAGGAAAAGTAATTTTCAAATGTAACAAACACAACCCATAACAAACTAAAAATATAAAGGGAAACATTCATTATCATCATATACATAGATTAAGTAATAAATAGTTACGATATATAAAGAAAGAGAGATAAGTTATATCTATATTATCATATAATGAATAATAGTCATTGACTTTGGTACAAAGGAGAAATAAGGAGATGGTATCTCATGATGAGTCTAAAAGAGAATTAAGGAGACATAACATAAGCCTGCCATTATCTTCACAACACAAAATCTCTAATTACAAAACAAAACAGAGTCTTCTTTTACTTACCAAAAACAGAGTCTTCTCTCTAAACATCTCTCTCTTTGCAAGTCTGAAATGACGATTCCTGTGATTGTTTTATCCAAGACCAATGATGAAGAAAGAGAGAAGACACTGCATGAAATCGCTAAAGCTTGCAAAGAATGGGGATTTTTGGAGGCTTGAATCTGTCATAACTAAAGACAGAACACTAAAACTCTATGTGTTTCTTATATTCTTATTATGTATGTGTGTGTGTTTAGCTGGTGAACCATGGGATCTCATTGGACATTCTTGACAAAGTGAAGAAGCTAAGCTTAGATTGCTACAAAACCGAGAGAGAAGAAGCATTCAAGACCTCAAATCCAATGAAGTTACTCGACGAATTGGTTAAAAGAAACTCCGGGGAAGAACTTGAACACATCGATTGGGAAGACGTTTTCCTTCTTTTAGACCATAACCAAAACGAATGGCCATCCAACACCTATGGCCTCAAGTAAACAATYTCTCATATTACAAAATCAAACCATTCCATTCGATTTAGAGTTCAAAGGTCATAACACTTTTTTGTTTTACTATTTGTGAAAAAAAACAGAGAGACAATGGGAGAATACAGAGAAGAAGTGAGGAAGCTATCAAGCAAGATKATGGAAGTAATCGATGAGAATTTGGGATTGACTAAAGGTTCAAACTTTCGTGTACTTTGTTTGATTTTTTACAAACGATATATAATCGTTTTCGTTGTTCTTGGAGTGAATGTATTATTTTGGCATCCATAACTTTTATCATACAAACACGAAGACATAAACAATAAAAAGGAGTTATGTGAAAAGCGAATCAAATTTTGAAAAACACAACATTAATAGAAATRAAAAACCAAATTATTAAAATAAATAGATGGAAGAAGATGGTTGTAGAAACCACATGTCAAAATAAACTAATAATATGCCAAACCATGACGTCGTAAGATATGTTGAGCAGCAAGAACAATGTTGTTGCATCGACTCTCATCAAAAAAAGTTGAAATCATAGCCATGAATCCATGGATCACATCTTCAGTAGACCATCCAACGGTTTGAATGATTG